TATTTCAATCCAATATGGCTGCCAAACTAATCGACCAATCAAAATTCTGAAAGCATGTTGCACTAGTTCACATTAGGGACTATAAGTATAGAGCATTTTCAGACTATTCAGTTCAGCAGTTTTCTCAAACGGCTTGACGAAAAAAGTTACGGAAGAAAGAAAGAAAGAAAGAAAAAACTGAACGATAATAATAGGGGCCTCGCCCTTTGGGCTTGGGCCCCTAAAAACGGACGATAAGAATAGGGGCCACGCCCTACAGGCTTGGGCCACTAAAAAACCGGACAATAAGAATAGGGGCCTCGCCCTTCGGGCTTGGGCCCCTAAAAACCGGACAATAAGAATAGGGGCCTCGCCCTTTGGGCTTGGGCCCCTAATTAAAGCCGCAAGCGGCGTCACCGGGGCCCAAGCTGACAAGATTCTGTTTCATAATTAATGTGGTCACATGTTCACATGTTAGACTATCAGGTAGCTTGAATTATCAGTAACATGAGGTCAAAATGAAGTTGGTACCATGTATTAACCTGGTTTGGTTATCGAAATATGGTTTTCAGGACATATAATGAGCCATGCACAATAATGAGATTACATAATCATATATAGCCATTTCTAATGTCAGTTACATCTTTCATCAATGTCTTCATAATGACACTTGTTACATATTCTGCTCTGCGACAGTGTTTTAGATATGACTGCTTTGCATATTAATGAGTTCACATGACCATATATGGTCATCTGTTATTTTTAATCAAATCTCTTGTTCACTGTTGTCATAATAACACAGGATTCATCTTCCTAACTGCAACAGTGTTTAAGATATAATGGTTATGCATATTAATGAGTTCACATGACCATATATGGTAATCTGTTATTTTAATGAAATCAATTGTTAAATGTTGTCATAATAACACAGGATTCATCACCCTAATACAACAGTGTTTGAGATATAACGATTACGCATATTAATGAGCTCACATGACTAGATATGGTCATCTGTTATTTTAATCAAATCTTTTGTTCAATGTTGTCATAATAACACAGGATTCCACTTCCTAACT